GGGAGGCGGAGGTTACGGCGAGCCAAGATCGCGCCATTGCACTCCAGCCTGGGCAACAAGAGCGAAACTCCGTCTCAAAAACAAACAAAAAAAGTAATACTCTACTATGCTTCAACTAACTTTGGACAGAGCACACAGGGAGGGGCAAGGAGGCTTGGGGCAAGGAGGCTTTAACCAGTATCTAGAAGTGGAGCCACTTACCTGATGGGCATTTCTAAGGAGTAGAATGGATTCTTAAGGGCAAAGTCTGAGTAAATCTCATAAATCTTTCGGAGAAGAGAATCTATTCCAGCTTGCCTAGGATCTGCTAGAACCACAAACTTGATCCCTGGAGAGAGACCAAGAATGGTTACCAAAGGGTAGACATTGGAGCAAGTAGTGTCATTCTGTATTTGTACAGTACTTTCAATTTTGCAAAACACTTTTATAAGCCCATTTTAATTTTATTCTTTTTACCACATAATGCAGGAAAGGCAAGACTTTGAATCTACTGATGAGACCAGAGAAGTGAAGTAACTTTATTATGTCACCCAACTGATTAAGACCAAGCTTTGAGTTCTAGCTCTACCACTTACTAACTAACAGTTTTGGAGTCCCTCAGCAGAAACATTGCTAGGCAAGGGACAAACTCAGGCAGTTTTCAGTAAATTAAGGGGTGAAGCAATGACACTCGCAATCCAAAGGTCATATCCATTTGGCTTTCACATTTCATTTTGGAAAGACATTTAACACCTTCCAAAGTACATGCAACAGGGCTAGCATTAAGGGGAGTTTTATCTGAACACAAGATAACCTGTGCTGAACATGCTGGGTGGCATGCACAAAATCAGTTTCAGATTAAATAGTGGTTTTGTATTTGCAAAACAAACAAACAGATGTGTCTGTAGAATTGTGCCAGGAAGGTCGGGCACGGTGGCTCATGCCTGTAATCCCAGCACTTTGTGAGGCTGAGGCAGGTGGATCACGTGAGGTCAGGAGTTCGAGACAGCCTGGCCAACATGGTGAAACCCCATCTCTCCTAGAAAAATACAAAAATTAGCTGGGCGTGGTGGCAGACACCTGTAATCCCAGCTACTCAGGAGGTTGAGGCAGGAGAATTGCTTGAACCTGGGTGGCGGAGGCTGCAGTGAGCCAAGATCGTCCTACTGCACTCAGCCTGGGCTTGGGCAACAGAGCGAGACTCCGTCTCAAAAAAAAAAAAAAAAAAAAAACATTATGGCCTGGGACAGTCAGGAGAAGTAGTGTGAACTGTCTGGCAATAGTGTCAAAATTTTTAAGTTCATTTGAATTCTGTGAATATTTTACATTCATACTTTGTTTTAAGACATTTTACATCTAAAACTTTGGATAAAATGATTACTCTAGGAATGTGTGCCGCGCTTACTAAGCTTGTGCTTTTAAGCAAAAGCTGGCACATCTGATACCACAATTGAGAGCAGGAAAAGATTTTTTAAGATCATTTAGTTAAACTGGCTTTCTTTAAATATGAAGAAACTAAGGCTCAGCGAAGAGAAGTTGACTTTAAGTAGGGGGCAGTGGCTCACTCCTGTAATCCCAGCACTTTGGGATGCGGAGGCGGGTGGATCACCTGAGGTCAGGAGTTTTGAGACCAGCCTGGCCAACAGGGCAAAACCCCGTCTCTACTAAAAATATAAAAATTAGCCGAGCATGTTGACGGATGCCTGTAATCCCAGCTATTTGGGAGTCTGAGGCAGGAGAATCGCTTGAACACAGGAGGCGGATCACGCCACTGCATTCCAGCCTGGGCAACAAGAGTGAAACAGCTCAGAAAAAAACAAACAAAAAAAAGAATTGTGCCAGGAAAAGTACACCCCCTCTTCCTGCTTACCAAAGGTGTCTTTGGTCAATCCCCTCCTCCCACCTTCTCCACCACACTCCTCTGGCCCACCTGGAGATGCAAACTTGTCAGTGTCTCTTCCCCACCTTCTCCATCACGCTCCTCTGGCCTCCGTGGAGATGCATACCTGTCAGTGTCTGGTAGCAGTGCAATTTGAATGTGTCTGTCTCCAGCATCTCAATGCCTGAGCTTCCCTGTTCAGGAGACAGCTGGGAGCCGATGGCAAACAGCCTATATGCAAAGGAGGCAAAGTTGCTCTAAGGCAGGAGTGCTTCTCAAACTTCCACTGAAGTGTCCCTATTTGCTGAGGAGTTAACATTATGGCCTGGGGGCCGGGCGCGGTGGCTCAAGCCTGTAATCCCAGCACTTTGGGAGGCCGAGACGGGCACGGGGGCAAAATCACGAGTCAGAAGATCAAGACCATCCTCGGCTAACACCGGTTGGAAACCGCCGTCTCTACTACTAAAAAATACAAAAAAACTAGCCGGGCGAGGTGGGCACAGGCGCCTTTAAAAGTCCAGCCGTACTCGGAGGCTGAGGGCACGGAGGAATGGCCCTAACTTCGGGCGGCCGGAGCTTGCATGAGCTGAGAATCCGGCCACTGCAAACCCTCCCTGCATTGGGCAAAGAGCGAGACTCGTCTTCAAAAAAAAAAAAAAAAAACAATATGGCCCCCCTTGGGACGTCAGGAGAGTAGTTGAAACTGTTCCTTGGCATAGTGGTCAAAAAATTTTTAAGTTTTCATTTGAATTGTTTCTTGAATATTTTACATCATACTTTCTGTTTTTTTAAGACACTTTTAAAACCAGATCTAAAAACGTTTGGATAAAAAATGAAATTTACCTCTAAGAAATTGTGGCCGCGCTTACTAAGCGTGTGCTTTTAAGCAAAAGATGGCACATCTGAATACCACAATTAGAAGCAGGAAAAGAGTTTTTAAGATCATTTTTTAGTTTAAAACTCTGGCTTCTGTAAATACTGAAGAAACTAAGGCTTCAGCGAAAGAGAAAGTTGACTTTTAAGTAGGGGCAGTGGGCTTCACTCCTGTAAGTCCCCAGCACTTGGGGATGCGGAGGCGGTTGATCCACCTGAGGTCAGCGAGTTTGTGAGACCCAGCATCCCCTGGCCCAACAGCGAAGAACCCCGTCTCTACCACCAAAAAAAATAACAAAAAACTAGCCCGGGCGAGGTTGCGGCTGCCCTGATAGTATCTCAAAGCCTACGCGGAGGCTGAGGGCAGGAGAATGCGGTGAACCAACGAGCGCGAGCTTGCAGTTGAGCTAATCCGACCACTACACTCCTAGCCTGCCCGACAAGAGCGGAACTCTCGTCTCAAAAAAAAAAAAAAAAAAAAACCCGTCTCTATTACTAAAAATAACAAAAAAATTAGCTGGCCCTGGGGTGGCGCGCGCTCTGTAATCCCACTACTCGGAGGCAGTCTGAGGCAGGAGAATCCGCTGAAACCTGGGAGGACAGAGATTGCAGTGAGCCAAAATCGCGCCTACTGCACTCTAGCCTGCGGTAAAAACAGAGCGATACCCTGCCCCTCCTCTCCCCCCACGAAAAAAAAATTGACAACACTGCCACTCATACCCTAAAAATCTCAGATCTGGATTCGTTGCGTTTTTTTTCCTTTTTTTCTTTTTTTTTTCTTTTTGAGACAGAGTCCTCGCTAGTCCGCCCACCCTGGGAGTGCAGTTGCTGCGATCTCGGCTCACCGCAAGCTCCGCATCCCCGGGTTCAACGACATTTTCTCCTGCCTCAGCCTCCCGAGTTAGCTGGGACTTACAGGCGCCCGCCGCCTCGCCCGGCTAATTTTTTTGCATTTTTTAGTTAGAGCACGGGGTTCACCAGTGTTAGCCAGGATGTCTCGATCTCCTGACCTCTGACTCCACCCGCCTCGTGTCCCTCTACCAAGTGCGGGATTACAGTTGGCGTGACCACCGCGAACCGCCTCGTTTGCTTTTTTCATTAACACCAAAATCGACGATTTACAGAAAAGGTAGACAAATTACACCAGCGCTCGCGTCAGGAAGACGGGGACTCCTACGATGGAACATGGAGGCCAAGACATTGACTTCTCAATTAGAAAGATGAGGCGGGGGCGGCCGGGCCAAATCAAGAAATGGACACCGGGTAATCTAGCAGCGGTTACCCCAGATAGCTTCCAGCACCTCTTCCCGTCGGCCGTGTTACGTTGCCGTATCACGTCCATCGCCATGATGGCCAGCACTGCATGGCCCACTGCAGAGGTAACAGCCTAACGGA